TCTGCGATCCTGTTGGTTTTGACCCTCCCCTGCAGATTCTGTTGCCTATGGATTTAGTTGGAATGTATATCCAATCTGAGCAAATAGGACTATCTCCCGAGAAAGCAGTCAGCTTCATCGGCTAGAGTGCACCAAGTAGAGGCACCTGCTTTCTACTAGCTTTCCCGCAGATGATCCAAAGGAAAAAAAAGACAAAGTTCTCATTCAAAATAATGAGAGAGATATGCTTAAATATGTCAAAGACTAGCAGAATAGCCTATCTTTGTCCCCTTGACATTGTATCGCCTTTTAGGAAATTCAAATCTGATAATCTATGGGGATTCTCAGTCATCCAGGTCATGGTTGTCCCAAAGGTGCTTATTTCAAAAGGCAACTGGACTTTCGCTTCTCATTCAAGAAACTGGACTTTCGCTTCTCATCCAAGAAGTTTCTTCAGCTCAGACTGGATCCTTCCAGTTAATCTTTCCATTCCCCACCATCCAGTCAGAGCTGAAGAAGCTTCTTAGATGAGAAGCAAAATGTCTTCAAAGAAAAACCAGGAAAGTCCAGTTGCCTCTTGAAAAAGCACCTTTGGGTTCAAATCTGACAGAAAGAGCTAGTTGCAGAGATTTGTGGAGAGCAGGAGGGGGAACCTGATAATGGATTTCACTCTTTGAAATTGGAATTCTCCATCCAAACCTGGAGTAGAAACCTATCTTGGATACTGTCTCAGAAGTTATAGGAATATAACATTATATATTCAAGATACATAGAGAACTATCTTTATTCTTTTGCTGAAACAATTTGCCCATCAGCACAACTGTGTAAATGCAAATTTGCTGAATGCCAAGATGTGCTGGAATTTAATTGCATCCATGCTAAAATGTATTAATATATTTGATTATATGCATGAGAAGGGCATTAGTAGCGTCTTTAAATTGTTTTCCAAATATGCTAACTTTTATCATTTTGCAATACTCAGTTGTTTGCTGAGCCACGATTCAAGACTCTTAAAAAATCTTTAATCTGTGAGAAGGAACTTAATGCATCAGATACTGCTGAACATTACTGAGTCTTTTTTTTTTTAAGTTGTTATCAGTTCATTTGCTGTAGTAGTACTGCTGTGCTAAGAGACAGTTCAATAAATCAACTCAAGCTTGATGGATTCGATAGTCTATTGCAATGAGTGCACGGAACACGCAAAGAATCTCTTAGCTTTCCCTCTTTGAGAAAAGGGTATGCAAAGAGCCTGGATGGATGAATGGTTGATTAATTTTCCTAGACATTTTCTTGACAGCAAGAAATGTGTTTCTTTATTACCATGTTTGCATGACAGTGATACTGCATGGGTGATGGTACAAATTACTGAATATAAATTTACACTTGGGACGGTCTTACTAATAGACAGCTCCTGGACAGTAACTATGCTGGTCATTTTTCTGCACAGTTTAGTACTTTATCACTTGCAGCCTGACCATGGTACTTTTGTCAAATAGCACATTTCTCTTGGTGTCTTATGTGTAAAAACAGATTGTGGAAAGGCATACTATGGATATGTTTGAGCAGCTTTTCAAGAAAATGGCTTTAAGTGTAAAACAACAAAGTTTTGTACAAGTTCCATACTTAAAGTGCTTTTGTACTTTAGATTCCAAAATAAACAAGACAGTAGATAATAAAATGTCATTAGGGAAAACTGTCCTTTTGCTTGTTCATAAATTATCTATGATTTAGATGAGCATTGAATTGATTTCTGGCCTCACATTACTTAAAATAGTTAAAAAGGAGCAGTGAAGAATTTTCCAGTCAGAAGACAGTAAAGTTAAAAAGGGAAATTGAAATTTCTATGATGACCAGTTTTAACTGCAAAATTATGGCCACTGCACCATCTCTATGATCACATGATCACGATCTCCAATGCTCCCTACAGACTCCCCACAAGTCAAGTCAATAGGGAAGTTGATAGAAAGTTGGAAGCTCTTTCTTCCCGCTACTTTTTTTTTTGTGCTTATCCTTGGTCGTTCTGTATATCTTTTTAGGTAAATAAATATTGATATTATTGAACTTCATTTGCCACTACAATCATTTATTTATTTATTATATATACTCTTCATAGATGATCATGGGACTTTCTAGCATTGGATAAAAAAATAGTCATCCTAAAAGGTCATTCTGGTCACATCAGGCTGCATTACCTTTCTCTCAAAGGATGAACCAATTGGTCACAGAGTTGACCACAGAGACCTCAGAGAAGTCTTCGGACAGCACTGACTCTTCGACTTTCAAACAGAGATGAGCACCGCCCCCTAGAGTTGGGAATAACTAGCCCATATGTGCAAAGGGAACTTTTATCTTTACCTTATGGAGAAACTAGACTAGGTAACATCATCAGTGTTGATGAACACTGATGATGTTACCTAGTTTGAGTAATGAAACGTCTGTAAGAAAACAGCTAAGCTCAGAGAGAACCAAGGACCTCTCAAGTTAAAAATACCTTGAGGAAAAAAATGGTTTAAGATTTTTGTATTGTTACCAAGAAAGCTGCATGAATATATCCATGTAATCATCAGGAATCAAACTTAAATTGTGGGTATTTTTGTCTTTTTGTCTTTTTGTCTTTTTGTCTTTACCTTACTGTTAACCAATTACTTTGCCTTAACTGGTTGCAAAAAAAAAAAAAAAAAAAAAGACCCTGGTTTCAACAACTGTAGGAAACTAGATAAAATAGGCATCCAATGAGAATGGAGATAATATAACTTTCTAGAAAGAAAACTATAATAAGAAGAATGGAGTCTGGGAGGATCAGTATCAGCTCCCTTTTGTTTTCACAACAAAGCAAGTCAGTATTATTATTATTACCTGAAAACTTTTATCAAAAAGTCATCCATATCGGGGTTCAGGAGGGGGGTTTGGAGTAATTAGCACACATTTTTCAACAAACAGCACACAGGCTGTTGGCACGGCATGTGTGCGAAAACACTGTTGTTTACTCTATTATATTGCAATTTAAAGATGTCATGAAGTTTGCCCATGAGTTTATAAAAAGAAAAGAGCAAACTGAAGCATTGTCCATGAAGAAGCTGTTCACCTTTCTGCTACTGAGCAGAGTTGAGTTTATTCCAGCTTGAAGATCATGACATAATTGTCAATATGGGGGAAATGCAGAGTAATGAGGAAAGAAATATATTCCTCATTTATACTTTGCGATAGTTGGATATTTTTAGCAAATGAGTTGTCAGCAGAAAGGCTTCATTAGACCCATCAGGATATCTGGCCATGAATAACAAATCCCACACTGTAGTGACAGTTTCTTTGAGCCAAAATGATGGAGCGCCTCTGACAAAAGCCATATTGTGCTCCCCATGCAAGAAGAACAAAAAAGACATCTTATTTTTAATTTGGGCAGGTTAATATTGACACAGTTAGTTTCTCCAGAGAGTCTGATGTATGAACAATGAACATTTACACAGGGCTCACTTGAGTAATCAACTGTCATATGCCATCAATCAGAAAGTATTCTAACTATTGAGAAGGACAAAAACAAAATAAATTTCATTTTAGTCCTGTGCTTAAAATGGTGTTATTTTTAATTATGCAGGTTTACCACAGATTTCTCTCACAAAAAATGACAATATATTTGAGTGTATATTTTCTTCCTGCACCTCTATATCTCTGTGTTGTACTTGAATTGCAAGTTAGTAGGATTTTTTTCCTGTCCTTTAAGTATTTTAAACATACGAAGGTTTTTACAGGATAAAATAACAAAAAAATGCAAATTACCATATTGCTTCTGAGCATAATTTAAGGGACTTATTCTTATGAAAATAATGGCAGCCCTAGGTATCGCACACAAAAGAATGGAAATAGCCAGTATTTTTTTTAAAGTAGGATTAATTCCATATTTTTTGTCTAAAGAGCTTAGGAGTGGCAAAGCAAATTGAAATTATTTATGATTCAAGGAATTTAAGTAGATTTCACTCTTAAACTATCTAGAAATAAAATGTGACTGTAACTTATTACATATTTGGGTTTCAGTATGTGGGTGAATGATTTAAAATTTAATCTAGAGTTATTGAAACTCAGTTTTAAGACATTATATAATTGAAATTTGACTTCTAAATTTGAAAGAAGTTAAATTAAAATATGGAATTTATTGGAAATATGAAGCATGAAATGTCAATGGTTATATTTAGCATACTATATCTACTAGTCAAAACAGTATATTGAACAACCGTCAACACTAAGAGCTCTGCATATTAGATTGTTTGAATATATGTATGTTTTTATTTATTGGCTTATCCCTGCCTCAACTCTTGGGGGTATACAGCTAATGTAGCAGTCCTTGACTTACGACTACAATTGAACCCAAAATTTATGTTGCTAAGACATTTGTTAAGTGGGTTTTACCCCATTTTATGACCTTTCTTGTCACAGTTGCTATGAGAATCATTGCAGCTGTTAAGTTAGTAACAATTATTATTAACAAATATTAACAGTAATTTTTATTATATATTAATCCATTACATGTATTATTTATGATGAAATATGTTTGACAGCATTTCTTATTTATTGTAAGCCCAATAAACCCAAAACAGATTTTAATAATGGCTATAGGATTAAAATAAAAACTGAGGATTTCCATAAAGAGAAACAGATTTTTTTAAAAAAGAAACTCTTCCATAGGTCAATGTACTCGAATAAATGACCTGGGAGAATAGTTTGAGAGGGCAGTGCAGAAGAGGGATTGTCAGAATAATGCAACTGAGTTCATGTTTACCTCAGATTATTAATGTTTGAAAGCTCTGGCTCGATCATCATCATATCATACTCCCAATTAATATTTTGCATGGCCCAAGATGCTTTTATTTTTGCTGAAAATTGCATCCTAAGAAAAACTTGAGAGACCTATCATTAATCCAGGTTTTCAAATGACTTAAAATATCACTTTGTATGTATGGACATGACAGTCTCAGTTGTTAATTCAATTACTTTCTTCAATAAATAGTTGATTTGTCATATTACAGGATTATCTGTTTCACAGAAATATCAATGAAGACCTGAAAGCATTTGTAGATAAATATGGTTTTGATGTCCTTGTCATTTCGGCCAGCTACTTATCAGAAGGACAAGAAAAAAAGCAAATAGCAGTTTATTCAGAAAATATGGAGCTAGGAAATCAGGTATGTATTCTGGAAAGAGAACGAAATAATATAAAAACTGGCATTGTCATAGAGGATGCAATATTACATCACATTTTGCCATTATTTTTTAATAATACAGGATGTTAAATTCTTAAAAATATTGCAAGAATAGAACAGTAGCTTCTACAATGATCTGAGAACAATAAAACATCATTATATGGTTAATTAATAGGAAAATTAGAGAAAAAAAGAAATTCTAAATTTTTAAAACTGAACTCTCTTTTAATAGTTTTAATAGTTTTATGTCATTATTTTCATTTAACACCTAAATCATGAATGTGCATGGATTTCTCAGTATAGTTTTTAAATTTGCATATTTAAATAGAATATTCATTAATACTATATATTAAAAATAACCCAGTTTCTGTATATTTTGCTATCTAAAGTTCACACCACAATAATTGATTTTTTAAATCAAAGCATATTTGTATTTATTGTTTTGGTTGAAGAAAAGATATGCTTCTTCTCCATGTCCTAGAATGTCCCCTACTCTAGTGTTCTTTACAGTATATTATACTATTTACTGTTCCTTATTTGCTAATTTTGTTATATTTAAATTTAAAATATATTTTCTTACAGTTATATTTAATCTTAAAGTCTATCTTGTGATAAAGTTATAGAAATAATTTTCTAAATTCAGGTGGAAAAGGTTATTTTTGTTTGTATGTATGAATGTTATATAAGTATTATGTAAGAATATAATAGAACAACAGAGTTGGAAGAGACTCTTTGGAAGTCTTCCAGTCCAATCTCCTGCTCAGGCAGAAAACCCTATACCAATGATGGCTAACCTTTTCCGGACTGACTGTCCAAAGTGCGCGTGTGCGTGTACCCACAAAATACAATGCATGTGTGACTCCCCCACATGTGCCCCAGCCCCACATGCACCCCGCCTCCCCGCTATGCACGGTCAAGACCCAAAGACCAGCTGGGTGGTGGGAGATGCGTGTGCATGCGTAGCAGAGCTGACATGGGGTGATGGCTTGCATTTGACTCTGTGTGCTACCTCTGGCACATGTTCCATAGGTTTGCCATCACGGTTCTATACCATTTCAGAAAAATGGTTGTCCAGTTTCTTCTTAAAAACTTCCAGTGTTGAAGCATTCACAATTTCTGGAGGCAAGTTGTTCCACTGATTTATTGTTCTAAATATCAAGAAATTTCTCTTTATTTCTAAGTTGTTTCTCCTCTTGATTAGTTTCCATCTATTGCTTCCTGTCCTGCCTTCAGGTACTTTGGAGAGTAGCTTGAATCCCTCTTCTTTGTGGCAATCCCTGAGATATTGGAACACTGCTATCATGTCACCTCCTAGTCCTTCTTTTCCATCACACTAGACATTCCAACAACCGTTCTTCATATGTTTTAGTCTCCAGTCCCCTAATTATCTTTGTTCTTCTTCTTTGCACTCTTTCTAGAGTCTCAACATCTTTTTTACATTGTGGCAACCAAAACCGGATGCAGAATTCCAAGGGTAGTTTTACCAAGGAATTATAAAGTGGTACTCATACTTCACTTGATCTTGATTCTATCCCTCTGTTAACACAGTCTAGAACTTTGTTGGCTTTCTGACAGCTGCTGGCTTATATTCAAGTGATTGTCCACTAGCACTCCAATATTCCTTTCACAGTTACTACTATTGAGCCTATTGAGCCTAATATCACCTACATTATACCTGTGCATTTGATTTTTCTTACCTAAATATAAACCTTACTTTTCATTTTGTTAGATAGTACCCTATGTTCAAGTTTGTCATGGTTCTTCTGTATCTTAAGCCTATCTTCTGGAGTGTTGGCTCTTCCTGCCAGCTTGATGTCATCTGCAAATATGAATTCCCCATCTATCCCCTCATCCAAAACATTGCTGAAGATGTTGAAGAGCACTGGGCCTAAAACAGAGCCTTGGGGTACCCCATTGTGAACTTCCCTCCATGTAGATGCAGTTCCATTGAGTACTACACTTTGAGTGCAATTGGTCAGCCACTTACGAATCCATCTGGTGTTGATGCTGTCTAACATATTTTTCTATCTTATCAAGTAGTAAGTTGTGATGTACTTTATCAAATGCCTTACTGAAGTCCAAGTAAATTATATCCACATCATTCTTCTGATCCACTAATTTTGTCACTTTGTCAAAGAATGCAATGATCTGTTTTTGACAAATCCATGTTGCCTTTTGGTTATGACTTTACCTCTAGGTGTTCTCTGATTTATTGCTTGATTATCTTTTCCAGAATCTTCCCTGGTTTTGTGCCCCCTTTTTTGAAGATGGTAACTACATCAACTCTTTTCCGGTCCTCTGGCAGTTCCCTGATACTCCAAGATCTTTGAAAGATATAGTTCAGTGATTCTGAGATCACATTTGCCAGTTCCTTTAGAATCTTGGGATGTAATCCATCTGGTCCTGGTGATTTGAACTTGTCTAGGATGGACAGATTCTTACTTACCATTCCCCCCACCCCCCCTTGTTTTAACTTGTGTTCCTAATCTGTTTTTTACCGTACTGTTTTTGATAGGTTGGACTGATTTTTCCTTTTGTGTAAAGACATTTGTCAGGCAGTTCTTTATGCACCCGTACTGGTTTCTTTTGAAAGCTGTTATTTTTCTTCTTCATTGGTATTGTACTAGACTGTGCTTTTATAATCTTACTTTTCAAAGTTTCCCAAGCTTCTTGGGTTGTTTTCTCCTTGACGATTCTCATCCATGGATTCCTTCCCAAGCTCTCTCTAAGTCTATTGAAATTAGTCCTTTTAAAGAGTATACTTCGATTTTGTTCTTATGTTAATATATTGTTAATATGAATAAACTTGTTAATATGAATTAATGTGACACTGTATCATAGAAAGAATCTATCTGGTGGTGATGAATGGTGGTGATGGTATATCCAAATTGTCCATCAGACAATTTGGATATACTCCTATATGTGAAGGTGGAGGAGTGGAATTGTCCTGCTGACTTTGAAATTGTCCATTATTTTATGCTCTATAGCAGGGGTGTCAAGCCTGATCACATCTCAGGCCATGTCATGACGTATCACAATGTTTTTTGTCTTTGCGGAGCCAGGGTGGGTGGGCCTGTGCAGGCCGTATCCAACCCATGGGTTGCCAGTTTGATAGGCCTGCTCTATAGGTAGTTCTCACTCATTGACCACTAAGCAACACAATTGTAAAGTGAAAAGTCATATTAAGAGTAATCTCATATGACCTTGACTTGCAACTTCCTGCCAGCTTCCCCATAAACTTTGTTTGTTAGAAGTCAGCTCTTAAGGTTTCAAAGGATGATCATGTGACTGTCAGATGCTACAACTGTTGTAGGAACTTACTGGTTGCCAAGCACCCAAATCATAACCATGTGACTATGAGAAAGTTACAATAATTGTACCTTTGAGTACCAGTCATAAATCTCCTTTTTCAGCACAATTTCTGTAACTTTGAATGGCCATTGAATGAGTAGTCGGTAAGTGAGGACTACAGTGCTTATATACTTTTTTTGGCAATTCACTTTGAAATTAAAAAAATATATACAAAAATCTATTCCTCTTCTGAAAAATAAATTAACATACTTCAAATATTATTATTAACCACTGCTGTGGTCAAATGTTTATTCCCACTAGGGAAAGAATATGATTAGCCTGTCTAAAATTGGCCATGCAATTAGGAATCCTGGGACTCATAATTCCAGCACATCTGACTTGTATATTTATAGGGTATTATTATTATTATTAGATAAATATTTTAATAGCATAATTAAGTCATGTAGGAATGATGGAAATGTCACTAATGTTTGCATTATGAACTCTTTATCAGAGTACATATTTCATGGTCTATTAATTAGAGGACTAATTAGTAATTAAATAAACCCAATGTTGAAATTAATTTTTTTCTTAAGCATTTCATTGGCTTTTGCTTTAGAATGATATTGAAATGCTCTAGCAGTCTATGCCTCAAGTCCCACATAAGTTTATTAGGCAGCGATTAGCAATAACTGAACTGAGCCCCCATCAAACCATAGATATATATTAGTGCAATGCTTCCTTCCCCAGTATTTGCCCTCATTCTAATATGGTAAGATTCTGGTGAATTCTGCGAAAGGTGGATGGCTATTATTATATCTAGTTCTTCTAAATAATGCTGGATTGAGAATACTGCATAACAATATTTTCAGTTCTTCTAAGGAGAGAGGAATATTAGGGACCAAGATCAGTAATATTAGACTCTCTGATACCCATATGCTAAAGTTTTATTTCCCTTAAGTTCCTGTTGCTTAAGCAGAATACACTTGCTCAGAGTATATTAGAACATGAAAAATATTACAAAGTAAAAAGAAGTAGAATTATTAAATCAGTATTAATTTTTACTAAACTTACTTTCATTATGTACAGTTGCTCAAATAAAACACTGATGTTTTTTTCTTTTCTTTAATAGATTTGCTGCGAATTAGAAGAGTGTCAGAATCCATGCCTGGAACTGGATCCTATGGAATATGGATGTGACCAACTTCTTATTTACCAGCAAGAGAATTACGTAGCAAATGGTGATGAAATTTTTTTGCTAATGAAAGATGTTATCAGCAGAAGACATCCTGAAATGGCACCAAATAGTAGAACATCTTCCACTGAAGCTGTGGCTGGAAGTGCTCCACTTTCTCAAGGTTCTTCTGGTATTATGGAACTATATGGTTCAGACATTGAACCACAACCAAATGTTGTGAACTTTATAGAAAACCCTCAAGATCATAATGGATCAGTGCAAGCCCATGCGGATGTTAACATAGATCTTGTGAGTCCTGACAGTGGTCTTGCTACTATTAGAAGCAGCAGATCATCTAAGGAGAGCTCCGTTTTTCTTAGTGATGATAGTCCAGTAGCAGAAGGGGGTGCATCTCATCACAGTTTTCTTTCTGGATTTGACTCTTATAGTCCCATTCCTGAAGGAGCAGTTGCTGAAGAAGAAAAGCCTCCATCTAGAAATAGCAGTGACAATTATGATCTTTTCAATTTTGATTTAGCACCTATGCCATCAGTTGAGACATTGTCTTCACATTTGGCGGGCTGTTCTGTGGATGATTTCTCCCATGACAGTGGTTCATCAGAAGAACAGTTGTCAGCTAGTTCAAAAGCAGATGACAGGACAAATCTATCGGAATGTGATATTGCAAGTTATTCAATAGACTTTCGAAGAAGAAATGAGGAGGATGATATAGTAACATTGAATGAATCTGGCCACCAAGAAGAAAATCATAGAAGTTTCTCTGATAATAAATCAAATTTGGTTGACTTGGAAAATGAATTTTCCTCTTGTACAGAAATCTTGAAAAATGGTGAAAGAAGAACTCCACCAACCCCAATGAATAGCCTTGTAGAAACATCACCTTTAGATAGTGGGCCACCTTTATTTTATCCACAAGATATAATTGAAAGAATTAATGAAATTGATCACGTTAAAAATCCTCATTCTCACATTAGATATGGGAGCTGGTGGGATGGTTTTGAATTAGATTCCAAAAATGTTGATACATGGAATTCAACTGAGCCAGAATCTGTATTTCAGAGTCCTGATTCATGGAAAGATTATAAAGTAAATATGTTACTGAGACAGCAAACTGATAGAAGAGCATCAGATTCAGCATGCATACAAAAGCAACCAAAACATATGGAATTTTCTAGAACAGATACTTGGAAAAAACCATTTAGCCCTGCCCAAAATACTTTGGAGTATCAACAGAAAGATGATAAACAGCAAATAGAAGAATTTGCTAATGTGTGGAACTCCAGTCAACCAGCTTGTGGAGAGTGGAATAATAGTGGACATATAAAGACAAACTTGCCTAATGTTTGGGCAGAGTTTGATCATGATATCTCAAAATCCACAGAACATCCATGGAATGTTCCTCAAGAGGAATTTGATCACTTTTCGCAAAATTTTGATAAATATTCTACGTCTAAATCTTTGCTGGAATTCTCTGTAGATAATTTAAGTGAAAATCCAAAAAATCAAATTGATTTAAATTTTCATAACAACAGGCAAGATAGCTCATTAGAAAATCACACAGCATATAAAAATGCAAAATCTAGTTTTGGCATAATGCAGAAAGATGTTAAAGAAAATCATAGTAACACCAAGTCTGACAATACCACTGTATGGGATCCCTGTGATTCAAACATCAGGAAAGATATGCTTGGAAACCTTGGCTCTTGGGAAGATCCCTTCCTGTCATACAAAGATCCAGAATTTTTTACATCAAATACAGGTGAAGATCTGATTGTTTCTCCACCAGATACAAACTATTCAACATCTGATTCATATGTGTCACCCACAGGTGTTGCAGATGAAAAAGAAAGTGAAGACAAATATTCTGAGGGAAAGCCAATCTTTGATCAAATAAGAAACTCAAATTCAGATGAAACTGGAACAGAAATATATGATTTATCAGATAATAAATCATTGCCACAAACATTTCCTGTATGTTCATCTGATTACAGCGAAGCTTGGAAACCAACCCTTAATAATGAAAAAAAAGTAGAAGTTGAACCTTCGGACCTTATTATAAAAAATGCTGTTGTATATGATTCAGAACAAAAAGTTGCAGAACTTTTTTCAGGTGACTATGATGTTGATGACAGTAGTCCTTCTGAAAATAGTGGAATGATGTTGATCCCTGCACAAAAAGATAATAATTCCCCTCTAAGTAGTATCGTGTGCACAACAGAAGAAAATGGTGAGAGGAATAATGAAATCATTTTTGAAGACATAGGATCTCCTTGTTTTGAATCAAATGGTACAGAAAATGACATTTTAGTTAATTATCAACTTAGACAAAACAATCAATTAGATCAAGAAAGTAAACTTCTGAATAAGCAATTTGACCAAAAGGTTGAGCATCTTCAGCACGATCAAAAAGTTGCATTGGAAGATAACAGCTTAACTTATTCCTCAACACTAGAAGTCATTGAAAATAAAACTATTGTAGGGTCATTCCCTCTTAATGATATTAGAAATGAAACAATGCAAAATGACATGCCATTGTCACTTTTACTACCTCTTTCATATGTTAATAGTTCAGAAGAAAGCAGAACAATTTCTGATTATCCCAGTTCACCAGAAAAAACAATAACTAGTGGAAGTCTGGAAGAAGTAGCAGCAGAACCACCAGAAGTAAATATACCATTTTCCAATTGGACTCATCTTATCACAGAGAAAAAGAATGACATAACCCAAGACAGTAATGCAAAACATGTCATTACATCTCCCAAGGAAGATAATGATAATTTGGATCATTTTAACATGACTGAATATCCAAACTACCATTCAGGAGGAGTGTCTACACTAGTTTCTAAACCTTTTGATAAAGATCTATTTGAACAAAATATTCCTGACATGGAAAGTCCCTCTTCAATTTCTCCCAGAGAAGAATGCAATCAAAGGAACCATTTTCCAATGATGGTTGAAAATGAAAACATGATTAATAGCTCAGAAATGAATGCTTCAGAGTCAGAACAATCAAATCTTTTTTTTGCTGAAGAACAACCATCAACAGGGGAAGAGTCAACCTCTAACTTGAACACTGATAAATTTGAATTGGAGAGTTGTGGAGACATTTCAGAAATGTTGGACATTGAAGACACAACTTCAAATGATGAAAGTCAAGGAATTTCACAGAATCTGTACACAGAAGATATTGAACCCCTGGATACAACAGATAAGCCACAACCAAGCACTTTATTACCGTATAAAACTGATTCTTCTGAATTAAGTGAAACTCCTGAAAGTGTGGAGAGTGAAAATGAGTTCACTCATGAAAAATGTATTGATATTATACTGCATCATGAATTGTCCCAAATCCTTGATGCTTGGAATACATCAGTGAGTGAAGAAATGCAGTTTGCTGGATTAAGCCCTATGAAGAATGAAATGTCAGAAGGATCAAGTAACTCCCCTGCAAATACATCCCTCAAAATTACTGGTGAGGAAGATAATAGCAGTGGCGGGTCCATTAATAATGATATATACTCAGGTCCAACCAGCCCAGATATAAGTGATTCTTTAACTAATATACATACCAGGCAGAATTTTCAAGGAAGCAATACTCAGAATGAAGATATATGGGACGCTACAAATGATATCAAAATAGATGAATCTGGAAAGGAATTCCTTGAAAATAAAAGCCAAGAAGATTCCGAAACAAACACTGATCACAAAGTACCTAAAAATTTAGTTCTTTGGAATGCTCATGTGGATGATGATGATACATCTTCGTTATCAAGTCCTGGGACAGATGAAGTTTCAGAATGTTCAAATATACATCAGGGAGGAATAGAGTCAGATTTAGACTCTGACAAATTGGGGGATGCTACGAGAGAGAATGAATCTTTGCATTTTCATGAAACCAATCTTATAGTTGGTTCAAAAAATTCAAATGGTCAACCTAAGTTGAAGGAAAATGTTCACCCGGATGCATTAAATGAAATCTCTGAAGATGTTAATATTATAACAGAAAACTATGCCCATGAAACATCTGAATATTTTATAGAAAGGGAAATAGATCAGGAAGATGTACCTAATCACATTGAACAAACATCTGCTTTAAACAATGAAGAAATTTATAGTCCAAATAATTTAGATGCCTGGGACATTCTGTTGCAAGATAGTGCAAAAAGTGCATTAGATAAAAATAAAAAATCCATAGAAGAATGTTTTGGATTTCCAGATGATACATGTGAATGGTGGAATTTGGAAAAACAAAATGAGAGTTCACTTGGATTTAATTCAAGGAATGATTTACGAAGAAACTATGCAGGAGTTATCCCTGATAATACATGGGCAGTAAATCCAAAAATAAATGAAAATGTTGAAGAACCAAATCTTACAGCTACTTCCACATATGAAGAAGAATCTACACAATGTAACAATATACCTGAATATAAAAATGAGGAACCTGTACTGACTCATTGGTATGAAGGATCAGATCAAGCTTGTGCAAACATTGGAGAATATGATGGACTACCATGGTCACATATTGATGAAACAGAGAGAAGACAAGATACATCCCTTAACACTGTTAAACAAACTGCTCCAGAAGACTGGCAGACAAGCCTGTTAAATGCTGTTGCACAGGAAGATCTAAAACTTGATCCAAATCTGATAACTAGAAATAAATTTGTCCCCAGAATAATAAATCAGTACAGTGAAATGCAGCCAGAGACTGTTAACACATCTCCATCTGATCCTTCACAATCTTTAACAAAATCTTTGAACTCAACACCTACTGAAGAAAGAATTGCCCAAGGAAATCCATTTGTTCCTGACATATTACAGAACAGCACTCCAGGAAACTGCCAGATATTTAGTATTGATCCAGATTTGTGGACTGATGTAGACCAGCCCTTCATTTTGAAAACTAGCAAAGAAAATCCAGATATATTAAATCACTTTGATCAAGACAGCAGTTCGCAGGCCTCAAGCAGTCCTGACGTTTGCCAGTATGAAAGCAAGGAAACATATGCACAAACCTCTGTCCTATCTGAGCATGAGGAGCTTGGTGTGATGTCCCCCATCTTGTTAAAAGACACTGATTTTCATTTTAATCAGCAACTGGCAATGGACAGAATGGAATTATGTCCTGAAGAAAACGACTCATGTCTTTCAAATAAGTATGAGACAATCTACCAAGGAACATCTCCAAATGACAACCTATCTGAAGTTGAAAAAGAAAATATTACTCAGGAATCGGTTTCGGCCACAGATAATTTTATGTATGATAATTTTCCTAGAAATGATCAACTTTCACCCTTTGGCCATGTAACAGGACTAGTTGAACAGCTGGAAACAGTGCATACTGCACTTGATGATACTGGAAAAGAGTATAGTATGTATAACCAATGTATGATGCTGAATGAAACTAATCCTTTAACAGTCATTGACGAATCAGAGAAAACCGAAATTCATCCAACACTTACAAAGAAACAATCACCACAAGACTCCTTAGAAGAAAATGATCAACTTTCACCCTTTGGCCATGTAACAGGACTAGTTGAACAGCTGGAAACAGTGCATACTGCACTTGATGATACTGGAAAAGAGTATAGTATGAATAACCAATGTATGATGCTGAATGAAACTAATCCTTTAACAGCCATTGACGAATCAGAGAAAACCGAAATTCATCCAGCACTTGCAAAGAAACAATCACCACAAGACTCATTAGAAGAAAAGGAAGAAGAGGTCCTATATAATACAGAAATACAATATTCTGCAGATAGTCTACAACATCTTCAAAATACACAAGAAAGTTATAGTGCAGAGTTTATAGAATTACCCCATAAAGAATTAACACTAGAAGTTGTTTCTCCTTTTGGTTTGGACACTCTTCAAAAAGATGGCATGAACATTTCAGGATCTAACACTAGTATCATAAAAGATGATGTTGCCGAATATTCTCAACAGGGTTGGGGATCCCTGTTATTAGAATCTGATGGGACTCCTGGATCTTCGTGTACTTTGAAAGCATTTGAATTTGAAACAGATTCAAGTAACATTGAATCTCCGGTTGCAGGCAGTGAAATTGACATTTTGGAATCTAAAGCTACCGATTTAAAAAACAAGGTTGCAGAAGATCAAGAAAATCAAGGCTGGGAGTCGTTTTTATTAGAATCTGATGAGAAATCGCAACCTTCATGTGTTTTTAAGAAACCTGTGCACAAAATATATTCAGCTACTATTGATTCACCAACTAGTGAAGATGAAAATAATCTTTTAGAAAAAAAATCTGATGATGTAAATAGCAAGGCTAGAGAAAGTTCTGAAAACTGGGATTCTTTGTTGCTGGACTCTGAAGTAATTCCTGAGTTAACAGAAGATTTGAACAAATGTGAATACAAAGCAAAATCAACTCATATTGATTCACCAGCAGATGGAGGCATAAGCATAGACAACGGTGAGTAAAATTAGCACATTTATTAATATAATTTTTTTTCTAAGGAAATACAATCTTTTTGCATATATTATAATCATGCAATGGTTTACAAATAAATTACAAAAACTTCCAAATAAAATGTAAAACTGGAGATACTTTTTAAAAAAGTAATTTATTTTTAAAAGAATTTTTAAAGAATATTTTATTTCTTTAAAAATGTATATTCACAATCAATACATATACTGCAAAAATATTCTTTTCCAGCTGTGAATTGTCTAGCATGTCTTATTTTAAATGAAAAACTATTCTAATTAAAACATAAAATGAAATAATAAGAGAGGCTATACAAATCAAATAGCTAACTATTTTCATGTTTAAAATTAGCAGGAAGAATTGACTGCTTTAACTAAAACTTTTTTTTTGTTTAATTTCAGAAGCTGTCTGTGATGTATTTAATTTTGATAGTAAAGAGACCAGGTTCCTAGAAAGGACAAGAAAGGATGAAAAGGAAGATAGACAATTACAGGAAGCAGAAGAACAGTCTTCTTTAGAAATGGACTATGTCCTCATTAGCGGTGAAGAACATGTATCTTTGACAAATGACTTATTGGTAACCCAAGAAAGCAATGTCCCTTCAGCAATTGCTGAACAAATGGATTTTCTTGAAACATTTTCAGCAGACTCCTCGGATACATTACAGTCAATCTCCATAATAAATGAAAGTGAAGGACAGTCTACTCTGGAGAATGAATGGGACTCTTTTTACCTAGAGGAGAAAAGTTTTGCTGCTGTGCCTCAAAAATGGGAAGGTGAAAAGAAATCACCCAGCATCCTTGTACAAGACCAGGAGTGGACTATAGTAGGCCAAAATGGAGAGCATGAAGTATCATCTGAAGATAATTGTAGTAAACCAGTCACAATAGAGTCACTATGCAGACAATCTATTAAAGAATTAGACAACGTTTTAAGCCAGGAACTGATCTCTGAAACCCAAGCTGAAATTCCACTAGATAAAAGCTCCTACCAAGCCTGGGAACAACAGGACAAGATTTCATGCGATACCAAAACAGATGCTCCTTTCTTGCAAGTAGTTGCTAATGATGTTGAATTGGATGATCATCCACAACAACCTCTTGGAGACAGCATGGTTAAAGAACAAAAAATAGAAGATGAGACTTCATCTGTGGACAATACAAGACATATCCATCGAATAGTAGGGTAGGAACAGATCTATAAATGTTAAGGTCTATAAATGTTATTGCTGATTTTATTATTGATGAATGTATTGGTACATTTCAGAAGGTTGTTCACACCAGAAGCAAGGGGTGGATAAATTTTATATTAGTATTAGAGTTTCCTTTTATTAAAGGCAGATATCTAACTTTTACCAACCTCTCCTATATTCTGCAACAACCCAGTTTAGAGCAATCTAGCAACTGAAGATATGCAATTAATATATGCATTGATGATTAGTACTGACTGTTTTGAAAGGATTTCGACTTTCTGCATGCGCAGAAGTGTTGCGTGTGAGCGCACACAAGCAAACCGGTAGCAAAAAAATGGAAACCCACCACTGATGATGTAGGAGGAAAATAATAGGTAGTCCAAAATCAGATGGAGCCTAGTAGTACCTGTCTTTTAATATTATTAAAAGACATAAGGTGTTCACTTCAGTTCACTTTAACAGATGCATAAAGAGGCTGTGCCAGTCCACATGCCTGAAAACATCTACAGTTTTGGATTATAATCATATATCATATCATATCATATCATCTGGTTTAAAGTGTGGCTTAGGCACTCCATGCTAGAAAGGCTGGATGTAAATCAAATCAATTAATAAATACAGTTTAAATCTAATTTGTCATTCAAAACAATACTCAACTTTGATCTAATTTTTAAGATATCAAATGTCAAAGTTTGTAGTGAACAAAATTTTTCCAACCGTCTTCCTATTGTCCCATTGTCCACTTACCCACTCCTGTCCCTGGGCCTTTTTAAAAAAGACATTTCTCATTTATCACATTGATCAAATCTTTTCCCTTCTTCCTTTCAAATCAACTTTCTTACTCATTTATATTGTCACCATATTTTTAATCTACCCTATACATAGGCTGTCCTCTTTCAGCTACTGCTTCATTTAGATACCATTTGCAGTTACAATGATGATGGAAAAAGTAACTGTGACTAGTCCTAGTATCTATGACTTTGCAGGTCTACAAAGCAAAAGAAAGTTGAAGTAAGAGCATAAACACAGTCACGGTTTAACTTAGCAACTGCTGTGTTAAATGACCTAGATGTTGGTCCCAATTGTGGTTCTACCTATAGCTCTTTTCAGAGTTCTTGACCTTTGTTCTCAACCTTCACAGATTCTTTGGTAGAACTTGGGCAAACTAGGATCTGGCTTATTTCTGAAATACTACAGAGGAAAAAATGATGAAGTGATCCTATGTATCCGTTATTTTCAGTTCTGTGTTTCCTGTGTGGATATAATAAACATGAAATGATCCTAATTTCACTGGAGTATGAAAAGTTGCTATAACAAGTTAATTGTGATTTAACTTTTTCCTCTAGTCCTATGCTTATGTGCATTACTCATTGATACCTTTTCTCAGAATGCTATCCAATTCTTGCAAAATATATTGCAGATGTTTTAGTTTGTCTTTTTGAAGGTGTCTCTTAGCTGCAAATCTCATGACCACAATAGGTGGGCCATATAAACATTTTTGGTTTTTCTCCTTCCCCTTATAAACTGCACCACTTCACCCTAGTCTATTAGAGTGATTTTCCCTCCATGTAAAGATAGCTAACTTTATCAAATAATTTTATCTCTCCTCTTGTTTTTATAGATCTAAGCAAATATTTCAGAACATTATATTACTAGTTTTAGATAAACGTATCAATTTAAATCATTTGACACAATCTATGTAACATATAAAAGTTAACATCTCATTTGCTCATGGACTCTTTTACATACATACATTCATACATACACATACACACATACATACATACATACATACATACAAACAAACAAACAAACAAACAAACAAAAACTAATACCCATCCCTTTTCTAGAATAATGGATTATTTTGAGAAATATTAAAATGACAGAATATTATATTTCCCTGGATTAGAAATGGAGAAACGTGTTTTTATTAAGAGGCTGGAAGTAAACTCACTCTTAATAATCCCTACCTTTCTTAATAGCCCTCAGCAGACATCAGCACTTAAAAGATAAAGAGATAGATAGCTCTATTCATAAGCAAATTCCATGCAGCAAGGTCTGAACAAAGGTAGGGTTAGCCCTTAGCCACAGTAGGAATTGCCCAACAAGCAATTGCATCAGCTCCAGGCTTCAACCAATCTTAGCTCAGACAACTTATACAGTCAATTATGACCTCTACAACAGCCAATAGAAGTTCAAGTTCAAAGCCCAAGAGAAAGTATAAAAACCCCACATTCTCAATTCCATGTGGTCAGCTACCCAGGACGGAACCAAAATATAATTGTGTATATTGGCTACAGTCAAAATCCAAGAAATATAAAATTATTTTAATTTTGAAAGCTGAGAACTGAACAGGAACTAGCTTGCTCTATAGAGATAAACTTTAACCAACTGGCAGGAATTTTAGCCTCAGCACACCAGGAAGTCTCTCAACTAAGGATGGCTAATTTTGATATGACAAATATAATAAAACCCTGCATGGAAATGACTACATATCTCTTAATGCTATTTTCTACACACTGACACATATTTAAATATACTTTTCAAGGAAAAGAAATAGCCTTTTAATTAATTGGATAATGCAGAAAAAAGTGGTTTCTGCTTACAGATCCCAGTAAAAATTCTCTATTCTGCCTGAAGATACTCATTGAATCTGTCCCCTTGTTTTTTTTAAATAGAATTCTCCACCACTATACGACTTTAAATTCAATTTAAGTGATGTAGATTACATAAAGCTATCCAATACACAGCTTCAAACTTGCTTTATGAGATTTATTTTATTTGGTTTTCACAGTAATGCTCTTGCCACCAAGAAAGGAAAATACGTTATTCTTAATAAGTCTGTTTGGCTTTGGGGTTCTTTGCGTGCCTATTAGAATGGCTGATTGGATATCCACAGCGTGGTATCCAAAAAGCAGGTGATCATCTTCCTTATTTAGAACGGGCATCGGTCATGTGATCAGAAAAATGGTGAAGAGCTCGGTTTCTAGTAAGCTGCTATGCGAAGGAGATCCTGAAATAAAGTCCTAAAGCAGTTTTGCACTTTTCCTATTGCAAAACTGCTTTTTAAACCCGAGGAAGGTAAGCACGCCGTTGGTACGGAGCAATCGGCAAAGATGGTGCTTTTTTATTTATTTTTTTAACAGCTCTATTGTTGCAGTTAATTCGGAGGGAGGCGAGGGAGAAGAGAATATGCATCAGCAGGATTGCAAAACGTTTGCTGTCTCATAAGGAAATTAAGCTGCTGTGACTTAAAATTCAATCACATCTGGTTACGAAGGAAACTCTACCTTCTTTTCAGAGATCTGTCGAATTGCAAGATGACGTGATTTTTGTAATTGACGAACAGAACTTTACCGTGTGTTTTAATTGCATAATCCTCCTCATTAGTATGATTTTGTTCTCTGCATAGCTTTTTGATGGTGGTGATGGAGAGGAAAGAAAGGCACTTCCACTATCTAAAAGCGTGCTTAACTAAGGGGAAGCAACTAAATGCACTTGAGATTGTTATCAATCTTACAGCAGTATAATAGGTGATTGTGCTGTTTTAAGTCCTTTTCTGTCAGTGAAAAGCATATAAGATTTCTTTCTTGAAGTATCCTCTGGCTGTTCAGAAGGAATTGGATTTCAAGTGGACAAAGTGTGGAAAACACAAAGCTTGAAAAATGAGCAAGCATTTGGTTATGTCTGCCAGTAAAAAATAAATAAAAATGTAATATTTCTGTGGGAAACTTTGTTTTCAGAAAATGTTTTGTGCAGTTAAAGAAATGACCACATTCACAGCAGCTTTCAGAAAAGAAAATACTTAAGAGGAGGATTTAATAGAAATATAGGAGAATAGAATGAAGGATTTGTGCTCTGTCTTCTTAAGCCACAAGAGGTTGATGTGATTGATTGGAGCTGTGTTTGACTGCAAGTCTCACATCAGCCATGTACTCTGCACAGCTCATTTGTTCTCTTGAGTCTGTAAGATGGAACTTGTAATGCTTTGCCTCATGGGGCTGGTTGAAAAAGAAGGAGCTTATAAAACTAAAGGACAATCTTCCAATGAAATAATGTTTGCTTTAATGCTGCTTTTGATAAAGCATTGCATTTTTTTTTTAAAAAAATACCTAGGAAGTTGACTATATTTTCATGGAATCCTCTTCCTCATTTCCTTTTATTCCTTTTCTACCTTCTGAAGAAAAGCTAAGTGTCTCTTATGCTTGAGATAAATGGAATCTTTGTAGTTATTGCTGATCCAGGCTACCAAGAATATACAATATAGCTTCCTCTATAAAGTCAAGGGGTGAGAAAATTTATTTAGTTTTATAGTGAATAAGTTAATTTGAAGCAGTTTTCCCATCAATAATTCTTTGTCGTTTGTAAATTCAACTAATGAAAACTGTGTATAACCCACAGTTCCCTTTTATTGATGCAGTTCTCTCTCTTTCAAATTCCCGTCTCATAGTCACCTTATTTTTAGATTTTGTAAATCCCAATTTGACCCACTTAGAATCCATAAAAATTCTGTTGCTAAGGTCTGACTGGTTAATTGTTCATGTCCTCAGTTCTAATATTTCTTACTTTATGATCCTTCTTTCCTTCAGAAATAATGAACATTTTTGTCACCTGAAGAATTTTAATATCAATATCCTTGATTTAATTATTACATCGTCTATGACAGTTTACAATATCCTCATTGGGCTGCATTAATCTGTTAAAACTATATTTGTCCAAATCAATATTCGTTTTCTTTGCTTCAGTTCAGAGAACCCTGCAATGAAAGATTGGTGCCATGGCCCCATGAGCTCTGCCATGATGCCTCAGTTGCTGCCAATACTTTGAATATTATAGCTTCATGAATGAGTCATTGGCATAACTTTTATAACATCTAACATTTAATATCAAATTCTAATAGTTGATTCTTAATTAAGGTGATAGTAAATTCAAGTAAATGGAAAAAGGTTGTTTTCTATGCCTAATTCTCTCTAGCTTCAGAGTTTTAAAATGT